CCTGAATATGTGTAAAATAACAATGTATTGAATGGCTCTGAAAGATGATGGACAAGATTCTGAACACCTTAGCATTTCTGAGTGTCTGACCAAAGAAAGGCAAAACACGAGGGATCTGAATACCTGAGAATCCAGAAGATGGGAGGGAGGGAGGGAGGGAGGGAGGGGAGAGAGAAAAAGGGAGGGAGGGAAAAAGGGAGGGAGGGTGGGTGGGAAGGAGAAAGAACAGAAGTAGACACAGTTGGTTTAGGTGTGGCCAAGGAAAGTAAGGGCAAACTTATCTAATGACACAGAAGGCATTAGGCTAGGTGGTAAAAAGTGTAGAAGGGTTGATTCATGTGAAACCCAAAAAGGGTTTGGAAAGGGTTAATCAGCAATGTAAAGAAATATGATGTGAGAAGCTGGTAGGTATCACCTACTCCCAACAGAATTCTGTACGTATACATATTTGCGTAGATACATATAAACGTCTATGTATGTGTTTTCCTTTTGACAGTAACTCTAAGAAAGGTCTTGCTGGGCAGGAGAGATAGTAGGTAGGGTGAAGGGTACGTACATAAATACAGAAGAAGCTGGCATCACATAGCTTCATCCCCACTCCAAAACCATCCAGTGTGGCCTTAGGGGCCTGTGAGTTACTAAGATGGATCTGGTGGTCCCTGGCATGGCGGAGCAGCATATCATCCAACCCCGAAACTGTTCCTCCAGCTAAGACTCGCTGGGCACAGCAGCCAAACTCCTGGGCATTGTTTGGGAGACCCTGCCCCCACCAATACAATGTTATCATCAGTCAAGTCAATCAAATTAATCGGAGAGAAGAAACAGAAATGATTACTATTTAAAATGCATCGATTTGCTCGAGCGGGCCCAGTAACGTCTCCATTGGAGACTTTGTTGTTACTGTGTCTGGCATATCGAATACTCTCGGTAGCTTGCCGGGCTCTCCGAGAGGGGCGGAGGAATCGAACTCGGGTCGGCCATGTTGGCCGCGTGTAAGGCGAACGCCCAACCTGCTGTGCTATCGCTCCAGCCCTTAAAATGCATCAATCCACCTAAAATTAATTCTATTTTAGGAAAGACCAGGAGAATTCTCCCCAGTCAGATCCTTCCAAGTTATTACACTGTTTTCTTTCAATACAATTAGGTATTTGCTCAGGTTCAAAATACTACACTGTAAAAGTTGAATACACACAAGTACACCAGGGTATGCTGGCTCAAACTTTCTGTTACAGTCATTAAGTCAGGACTGTAGGTTTGGCAATATGATTTTCAGCCTTTAGAACAGCTCCAAGAGTAGCTGAGAAAACTGACTCAGAATATCTTATACAATAATGTCTACTAGGAATAATATTACCCATTTCAGTGGAAGAACCAATTCAGTCTTCTACAAAACTACATGAAGTTTCTATGTAAGTGGGAATTGGGAGGCAGCAGTGGGGTGTGTCTAAATCAAAGCTTCTAGGATCTTAGAACTCAGTCTCTCTTTATTTTTTTAATTTTATAAATAAATTTTTATTTGATAGATACCTTCACATTTTACTCATAAATTCCAAGGGTAGTACACAAGTATACCTATCAAAGCTATAACAGTAATTCTCTACACTTTACCAAAACAGAATTCTGGTTGTCTAAATCTATTTTACTTCTACTTTACTCTGGGCCAGCTGATTAAAAAAAATCATATGATCATGTCAGCTGATTGCAAGATACTTCGGAGTTAAGTTCATGAACACAGAGATAGTTTTCCTTCTTCACAGACCCAAGAAATCCGAATCTATTTACCAAATAGGTAACAGGACTTCCAAAAGGCCCGCTCTCCCTGAATTCATTTGCTCAAGTGAAAGAACAAATGTTCCCATCAATACTCCTTTAAAAGACAACAATGCTTGGACACACTGTGACAACCGGATACGTATGGAGAAGGAAGAGAAAGGAAAGAAAAGCAAACTGAACTAAAGCAAAAAAGTCTGGTGGGTGGCAATCAAAATTCTGAATCGTCCATCTCTCAAACAGGGCAAGACGCTAAAAGTGAAATTGCATCTTGCTTTGCCTTTGACAAATATTTTTATAACAAAGATCTGCCATTTTTCCTTCCCTATGTAAGTAAATAACTCTTGTATCTGAAGGTGTCAGCAAAAAAATAAAAATAAATAAACCATACACACACACACACACACACACACACACATATATGCTGTTCTCTTTCATAGGAACTCGGTATGCTTGCCTAGATATGTTTATCTGATAGTCATCTTGTAACACTTTATATTTGTGTATTTTCATTTTTTAAAAAAATTAAGACTATATCTTTTTTTAACTCATTCATTTCCAAAGATACATTTTGTTGGTGGTCAGCTGTTTGTGCTACTCATGGGAAGTTCCTAGAACAGAAAATCAGATAAATGATTAAATGTGAGTCACACTCACCACGGGACTCAGAGTCAGCTTTGCAGATATATATATATATATATATATATATATATATATATATGTATATATATATATACCATCACAGGATGAATTTATATCTAAGCACCCTCATGAATATGCTTTTTTTTTCTCATTTAGATTTCATAATCTAGAAGTAATCTCTTAAACTGACTCCACCTGCCTGGTGAGATCACTAGCCATAATCAGTGGCTGATAATGAACCCATCCTGGAGACAGGATTCTTAACTCTGCGCAAGAATCTGTGAACACCTAGATCAGATGATCTGTGAATGCTCTGTTAGGAAAATAAACTGTGCATGGACATTATATTTTTCTAGACAGATGGTAAAGGGTTTTCAATCTAACTTTTCAATGGAGTTCTGTGAATTGAAAGTCTTTAAGGGATACTCACCAAAAATATATGGAGTATTATATCACACAAAACTAAAAATAACAATGCTTCAGTTTACTTTTGATGAGACAACTTCTTTCTGTGTCAAAATTGCCGCTAAGAAGCATTATAAAGAACAAATATCAGGTACATGAAACTTCTAAATTTGTTTTCTGAAACTATCTATGCAGAAGAGATAACTATCTGTGGCCCAGAATATATTGAGACTGAACCTATAAATGATCAATGGCCAGTCTATATATAAAAATAGAACCTGTAATAATCTAACCGGGAAACCAACATTTTATCTACTTAAAATACCAGGCAGCCCAACTATGATAAGACTTCTAAGAAGTCAGATTATGATCTCTAGTGAAGATGTTTAATATTATGCAAAAATACCTGTAATAATCAGCCTCCTAAACCAAGATTTGATTCCTGAAGACTTGATTAGCACAGCATACCTATTTTTTGTCCCAGAGCCATTGTAGGCTGAAACAAAGCAAATGAAATATGCAATGCTAGACAACTACGACAGACATCCACTTGTAGTTAATTCCCTACAGCTTTCAATCAAGGTATACCTGAAGTCCTCACTTATTTTTTCCCATTATAAAGTTTTCCTACTCCTCTCTCTGCCTGAGAACCTCTGCCAAAATGTTAGCCTCACTTTTCACATCTGGTTAGTATCCATTGATTTCCATGCTGTTCAACGCATCTCCCATAGTAACAGAACTTTAGCTTCTAGTATAGCCAAAAGAAGATTATGTTCGTCAAATGTAACTCTGGCTAATAGGATGCAGCTGAACACACTATGTGGCTGAAGCCACCAAAATACCTTAAAATACAGCCAGCAAGTACCCTTCACCCACTCTGCTGCCTTGGGATGGTGACTCAGCTGTAGAGAGGTGTGGTCTCTGAGGAACTGTCATGATCATGACAACCGCAGCCAACATTTACACTTCACTATGTATGAAACATGGTACTATGCTCCCTATAGAAATCAACTAAGTGATCATTTAAAACCACTCAAAGATGTGGTTTATTTATTATCAGTTTGTTTTGAGAAAATGTGGTAATAATTTGCATATAAGTGAATGGACATGGAGAGTATCATGCTAAGTGAAATGAGTCGAAAAAAGAGGAACATACATAGAATGACTGCACTCATTTGTAGAATATAAAATAACATAATATCAGACTACCATCCATGGACAATAAAAGCAAGAGTCAGGAGGATCTCCCCATGGTTGGAAGCCTGCCTCATGTACTGGGGGAGAAAGCAGTTGGGATAGAGAAGGGATCACTAAGTCAACGATGGTTGGAGGGATCATTCGGGATGGGAGATGTGTGCTGAAAGTAGGTAAAGGACCAAACATGATAGCCTCTCAATATCTATATTGCAGACCATAAAACCCAAAAGTAGAGGGAGGGAGGGAGTATTGGGAGAAATTGCCTGCTATAGAGGCAAGGGGAGGGTTAGGATGGTGGGGGGGGGGATACTGGGGACACTGGTGGTGGAAGATGTGCACTGGTGGAGAAATGGGTGTTTAATCATTGAAGGACTGAAACTCAATCATGAAAACTTTGTAACTATCTCACGGTGACTCAATAAAAAAGAAAGGAAATAAGAAAATGTGGTAATGTAAAAGTTAAAAACTTACCCATACAAGCAGTTTTGAAGCTACTATCACTTAGGGGTTTCTATAATATGCAGCTGAACTTAACCACAATTAATATTACCTTAGGAAAGATAATAAGCTGCAAATGGTTAAATCTAGGTTTGAGGTTGAAGGTCTGAATGCAGAACCTGCTTTTGTCTCTGATGAATACCTCCTCTTTACAGCCTTTCCTTAATATCCGAAGATGAGGTTCTGGTCCATGCAGAGAAATCAAGCTGCACATTCTAACATTAGTTATTAGAAGAAAAGTCTCTCCGTCTATTTCCAAGTTGATTTTGAAGTGTTCATATATTTAACCTAACTGTAAATGTCACCAGGTTATGCAATTTTGTAATCACAATCATCACCATTGCTTTTTACTATCTGCTGAATATCTATACTTATTACCTATCTAGTACATTGATGTCTTTAAAGTTTTTCATATGCCTAGTATGCTTAACAGGTGATTATATTAGAAGAATATAAAATTTTACCTAAAAACAAACCAATATACCTACCTTTATCATTCTGGATAGATCACCAGCATCTGCTAATTCCAAAACTATGTTTAGTTCATTATCTTCAATAAATGATGCATAATATTTAATTACATTTGGATGGTTCAGTTGCTAAGGGGGAAAAAAACAGTGAAAATTTTCTTATTAAAATCCAGAAGTCATTTACAGTTTTGACTTAAGAATAAACTTAAGATCCTACCATCCATTTATAAATTATATTTTTCCCTTCCCCTTCTCCTCCCAGTTTTTACTGTTACAATTGTGATGACTGTGCTCATACATTCTGAGCTGCTTCATTCCCACACTTCAGTTGTGATGCTCAACAGGGGTCCACACTTAAGTTTTATTTTCACAGTTTGTTTTGGTGCCAGGGATAACAAATGAATAACAGTAGGCGCAGGGGACAGAAATGAGACTGAATTTGTCTGTGCTAGTGAGCCATCCCTACAGGCATTTTTCAGCTACAGAAATCTTAGCATGCTTATATTTTTTCTTATTCCAGTGAATTTTGAAACAGCTATTATAATTATTAATAGTCAAACTAGTATTGATTTAATTTACTTGAAATAAAAAGCAAACACATGAAAATTGTCAAATATTCCTATGTCTAATATGTTTATAACTACATGTGAATGATCAAATAACCAGATGCTAAAAATGGTACCTTTCAAATGAAAAATTTCTTTTAAGATACTCAATGATAAATAAAGTACCCCTTTCACTTCGACTCTGAGTTCAGGACTAACTCCGCAGTAACTCCAACTATAGCTGGTTTGGTTCAGCAAGAAACCCATTCCTTTAAGGTATTTAATATATGTTATTTAAATGATGCCTTTGTGTTGAATAATATAAATGCAGCACTGAATATATTATCTATTAGAGTTATAAAATCATCCTAGGAAAGTTTTAATCTTGTAGAAAAATATGTGCACCAGTTTACATAAACTTATCTTTTTTTGTTTTCAAACACTAAACAAGTTAACATGACAAATAGTTTGCCAAAAAAATCATTCAAGAATTATCCTAGAGGGTTGTATGCTTTCTTCTTTTTTTCCTGTTTATAGTTTCCCCACTTTTTATGATGATGTAACTTCGATAATAAAAGCTTAAGTATTTTAAAAGCAGTTTCTTCATATGGGAGGTGGGGAGAGAGAACAGAACAATAGGATAGTTGGAAGCATGGTTGATTTTGATCTTACTCTTATCTTTTAGGCTATGTCTGATTCACTTTAGGCACAAACCAGAACAGATGGAATAAAAACACTCAAGTCTTATCTAAACATCAAAAAGACAGGGCTGAGAGATTGTACAGAGAGTAGGGCACTTGCCCCGTAAGCGGCCAACCTGGGTTCAGTCCCTAGTGCTCCATGCAAGTCCCCTAGCACGGCTAGCAGCAATTCCTGAGTGCAGGGCCATGAATAACCTCTGAGCACCACCGGGTGTGGCTCATCAACAACAACAACAAAAGCAAACCACTAAAAACATAAATATCAAAAATATAAGCAGCAGCATTTCTCCAAAGAAATTATGGTCTGAAATTATGGAGAGATAATACAGCATGGTGGGGAACTGGCCTTGCACACGGAAGGGCAGGTTCCAACCCCAGTACCCCTTGTGGTGTCCCAACCACCTCCAGAAGTGATCCCTGAGCAATAAGTCAAGAGGAAGCAGGGGCACAGCTGCACACGGTCCAAAAAGCCCAAACCAAAAAATTGAACTGAATTAGAATCAATATAAAAAGCACTGAAGTCTCATATTTTATTATTAAATGAGAAACCTGGGAAGTCAATTCCAAGATACACTTAATAGCCTCCCTCTCTAAGTTCAAAAATGGATTTCAGAAATGATAAAATTTAAAAATTAAACCTGTGAGCCATTTGAATCAGTTCACATTTTCAATATATTTCTATTGAGACAATACTAATAATGCACACTTATAATAAAAATGCTTTCAATTTATTATGACTTTTTAATCTATTTTCTAGTTTTGAAATTGAAAAAGAAATCCAGTATTACCAAATGTTCCTGTTATGTTATTTTACAATGAATCCAGTAATAACTACATTCTTTAATATACCAACATTCAAGAGCAATTTTCAAATTCTTTGAATTTCAAATTTACTGGAAATGAGAAAATGAGTACACATTTACTGATTCATTACTGAATCTTACAATACTTTTGTTTATATGTGTATTATTTTAATAAACCAGTTTTACTAATATCTTCAGTTATGTTCAAAAAGCATAGCTTGTTATTTACCTTAAGAAGATCAATTTCTTTGATACAATCAGCACGTGCTTTGGCATCCATTAAATCAAATATCTGAAAATAAAAATAAAATCATAATTACTTTTAAAAATATTCATTCCAGAATGTTATTTCACTAATTTAGTAGAGATATTTAACAATTTTCTTAGCATAGTGGGTAGGGCGTTTGCCTCTGCATGCAGCTGACCCGGGTTCGATTCCTCTGCCCCTCTCGGAGAGACCGGCAAGCTACGGAGAGTATCTCGCCCGCAGGGCAAAGCCTGGCAAGCTCCCTGTGACGTATTTAATATGCCAAAAACAGTAACAAGTCTCACAATGGAGACGTTAATGGTGCCCGCTGGAGCAAATCGATGAACAACGGGAGGATAGTAACAGTGAATCTTACTCTTATCGTTTGATCTTACTTTCATTTTAATAACTGTGAAGAATAACTGTATGTATTTTATGTTATCACTGCAATTAATTTTTTTTTCTTCCAGAGCTTAGTATTTTGAACTAGAGAGACAGTACAATGGGTAGGGTGCTTGCTTAGATGTGGCTGTCCTGGGTTGGATCTCCAACATCCCATATGTTTCCCCAAGGCCAACCAGAAATGATCCCTGAGCATTGTTGTGTGTGACCCAAAATCAAAGAAAGAAAGGAAGGAAAGGATGGAAGGAGGAAGAAAGGGAGGGAGGGACAGAGAAAGGAAGGGAAAGGGGAGGGAAGGGAGAAAGGGAGGGAGAGAGGGAGAGAGGGAGGGAAAGAGGGGGGAAGAAAGTTAGGGGGAGGAAGGGAAGGAAGGAGGGAAGGAAGGAAGGAAGGAGGAAGGAAGGAAGGAGGAAGGAAGGAAGGAAGGAAGGAAGGAAGGAAGGAAGGAAGGAAGGAAGGAAGGAAAGGATGGATTTTAAATGGAAAAAGAGAATAGTTACTATAGGTCTGAAGGTCAAATGAAATAAATTTTGATCACGAATATAATAAAATAATAGTGAATAATTAACTTGTGTAAATCTAATACATGAACTATCATTTCTCTTTTTTCCTCATAAGGACAATAACATTAGTGATTCTACCTCAGAGGTGAAGTAAAGGAAACCAAAAGATCTTAGAGACTAACAAAGTCTCAAAGCTAATAAATGGAACAGCCAGAGCTCATTCTCAGTATCCAACTAAAACCTCTAAGCATTCAGCTGTAGGACAAAATCATGTTTATAAGGTCTGGTGAATATATTCTTGACCAATGAGATATAGTAAGGAGGTAAAAATTGGCCCTTTGGAAATAGGGGTGACAAAAATCAAAATCAAAACTCCTCATGAACATAAAGCACAGATCTATATTAAATATTTCAAGATCTATATAGAATATTTGAATAGTATAGGTATATGAAAATAAAATTTTATAGAATGAATACTACCCCAAAAATGTCTAAATTCCTTTTACAACCACATAACAACAACAAAATTAATGATGGTAATAGCCATCAACCTGATCAAGAAATTTTTCCTAATTCAAACTGCCAAGAGATGCCAGGAAGAGTAGGTGTGTAAATTCAAGGCAGTGGTAAGATGGAAGAAATGTTTGAGGAAAGAACTGTTGAACACTCACATATCTCAAAGCACATGGGCTCTGTAAAATCACACTTTTGTCCTCCCCACACTTTCTCTCTCTCTCTCTCTCTCTCACACACACACACACACACACATACTTTCAGTCACTCACTCATGATTAAGAATCAAATGGCAAGAGAAACAATTGATTCTTGCCAAATCATGAGTACTGGGGCTATTAACTGGAACTGCTAAATAAAAGATTGAGATAATATAAAGAAATGCTGGGAAGTACAATGTTTTTGATGTCTGAGAAGAAATTCCTAGAAACTTTCCCAGTAATCAATCTCCCCGAGAGTAAGACATGTATGGGAGCTTTGGAAAGCCCTAACTGACTTAAAATACAAAGACAGAAGAACATACCTCGTAGAAGTCATAAATCTTTCATTCAACTTAATTTATATCTTGAATTACAGAATAACTATTTTAGTTTTAAATAATAATAACTGAGAGTATCTAGCCTGCACAGCAAATCTTGGCAAGCTACCCGTGATGTATTCAATATGCCAAACACAGTAACAACAAGTCTCAAAATGGAGATGTTACTGGGCCCGCTTGAACAAATCGATGAACAATGGGAGGACAGGTCTTCAATAATATTAAATTACTCTTCAAACATGAAGAGATACATGTCCCACTGAAGACAAAACCAAATGCTGAACTAAAAACACTTAATTAGATAACCAGCAAGTCAAGACAAACATACTAAATCTTCTGATCAAATCACCTATGACACAGATTCTAAGTTGCCTAATTTCATGAGCAAAATCTGACATATACATAAAGGTAAAGGCCCTCCCGTTGATCGTCGATTTGCTCGAGCGGGCCCAGTAACGTCTCCATTGGAGACTTTGTTGTTACTGTGTCTGGCATATCGAATACTCTCGGTAGCTTGCCGGGCTCTCCGAGAGGGGCGGAGGAATCGAACTCGGGTCGGCCATGTTGGCTGCGTGCAAGGCGAACGCCCTACCCGCTGTGCTATCACTCCAGCCCGACATATACATATAAAAATATTTTAATTTCAAAATTTTTTTCATAAAATATGTATAAGCTTGTCTTCAGAAGACACCATTTTCAGTTCTACCCAAGTTTCTTGAGGTTTTAACGTTTATTTTCTACATGGTAAGAGAAAAGCTGTTGGCAGTCTTTACACAAATTCAAATAGATTCTTAGCAATCTCTGAATCATTTAATAACTTTTCTTTTGTCATGTTCAAATTTTGCCAACATTACTCATGACTGACTAATGAAACTGAAAAGGTTAACACTTGATATCTTTAAGTAGAACACAATAGAAATGTGCTTGAAAAGACATGTCAAGTTGTTAAAACACATGAGACAGTAACAAAGAAAGTACTTAAAAATATATACTCAGAGCCTTTGGCAAAACTGGTTTCTCTCACTTTAAATAAATCTTACATATATGAAAATCTTAATGCCTGGTGCCCTACTTCACCAAACTTGTGTTAGTGAATTAACTGTGTGGCTTGTCCCTCTTTCAAGAGCTCTACATTCCATAAGGCTGGGCCTCAGTTCCTTCCCCTGGCTTAGGCTCCGGTCCATCCAAACCTTCAAGCTCCATTCCAAATGCTTCAATAGCTCTCCAGGGCCGCCACAAACCACAATGGGGGGGACCATCAGAGGGGATCCTTAACCCTGCCTCTACACAAGGAATCTATTTACTCTCAGTCTACAAAGCTTGGGTTCTCTCCCTAGCAGAATAGTAAGCAAATGCTTTCTCTTATAGAGACTATTTCATTCATTTTAAGAGGAAGAAAAGGTATAAAAGGCCACAGCAAAAGTATATACTTCTCTAAATATAAGTTACAGCAAACAAGACCACCTACAAGTACAAACTGACAATGGTCTTTCCCTGCCTATATTCACAGGACTTCTAAAGAGAGGAGATGGAGAGAGCAGGAAGGGGAAAGAACTCAACCAAGATGATAAATCCAGAGAGTTCTGCCTGGTTCCAGAAACCTTAAATCATCCACTACTCAAGGCTTAATCTAGTTTTCCTCTTTGCAATCTAAATGCAGTCTTCTCTTTGCAATCTAAATGCAACCAGATGTCCAAATTACAAATTAAAAGGTGGGCTCAATCTGGCAACAGAAACCCCCGCAGAACACAATCACCACCATGCTCACAGCCATTCTCCACAGGCTCAGGACAAGCATCATCCATGAATAAAGCTGTTGAAATACTCAGCTATGCAGGCTTTGTGAACGAACATCTCCAGGCTCTCACAGAGTTGGAGATGGGTGACTTTCCCTCATCCCCCTATTCTGCCGGGGACCTGGCAGTCATGCCCACAAACTGCCTCTGGCACCATATAATCTCATTAACCAGTCTAGATCCAGAAACTCACAAATAAATCTCAGAAGAGATCAACAAGCAGCAGATATGTCTCCAGATCCCAAAGTCACATTCCAGTTAAAAATCTAACTCCAGGGAGCTGGAGCGATAGTACAGCAGGTAAGGCGTTTGCCTTGCACACGGAAGACCCGGGTTTGATTCTCAGCATCCCATATGGTACCCTAAGCACCGCCAGGAGTAATTCCTGAGTGCAAAGCCAGAAGTAACCCCTATACATCACCAGGTGTGACCCAAAAAGCAAAAAATAAAAAAATAAAAAAATTAACTCCAGCTGTATCACTTTACTTAAAATTTTAGAATTCCTGGAGCAAATGCGCCTGTACAACATCTTATACTCTATACCACTGATGTACCAGGAGTAGCACACTACATTGAATGACGTAAAGTAGAAGGCAACCAATCTCTATTAAAAAATATTAGCACACAAGACTCAGCCTGTAAATATGTTAGTAATCTCTTATACAAGGGCTTAATAGTTCCAGGGTGAGAACAACAATCTTCACACACTTTTTTCTAAGGAAACCTGTTTTGATCATTTTTAGTGAAATATTCATAATAAGTAATGTAAAATAAATTATTTAGGGTCTACTATTAGTAGAGACTTTGGTGGTGGTTGGGAAAATTCAAAATATTGGTAGTGGGAAGGTGTAATGGTGGTGGGACTAATGTTGGAATACTGAATGTAATAAATTATTGTGAACAACTTTAAAAAAATAAAATAATTTTTTTTAAAAGATGGACTTTTTCTTGTCTTTGCATGCCTTGAGAGTTTGGAAAATTATATGGAATTAGATATCTGTTTATGTCACTATTCAATTACTATTAAAACTTTCATTTTCAAGGGGATGCCTTTTAACTCAATAGGTTAATAAATGGTGATCTAACTTCTAGTCCATCAGTAAAACTCACGAGTGATTCCCATTCAATAGGTTTTCTTAAAAGTAAGAGGACTCTACAGTTTAGCAAAGGAAGTTCATCTTTCATGGAAACTTAAACTCAACAAAGATTTGTCAGACTGTGTGAAAATTAAGGTGTTACCAGGAAGAAAGGTCCTAGGCCTGAATGGATGTTTTGCATGCTGGAGCCTGGGTT